ATTCTCCCATTATCAAACAATTGTAGATTGGGTGGAAGCATAGTTCCAAGGTACAGTGCTTGCCTAGGATGTGTTGAGGCCCTTTTAAAATCCCCAGCATCACAGAAAAATAATGATTAATCATAATAATTGTGACTAAGGTTTATTCATGTTTACTATAGGCCAGACATCATTAAAAAGGATTGTATACATATGYTAGATATATATTTACAACATTGAGAGTATTTTTGTCCACATTTTATATTTAAGGAMAGAAATGTGTGACCTTGCCCAAGGTCATGCAGATAGTAAGGAGCAAGGCTGGAATTTTATTTCATACAGTATGACCCCAGAGTTCTGACTTATGTTCAATGTGCTGGATTGAGAGAACCCTTATTGTTTATCTAATCAACTTTCTCTCCTGTACTGCCACTTTCTCTTCCCCTAAACTATGATCTAATCCCTTCTCCAGTTTCCTAAGTAATTATTCTAAGCTCATTTTGACCATAGAAAACTTGGTATTTTGCCTATTTCATCTTTAGACTTAAAAATCTCTCCTTTAAATTCATCTGAAATCTGTTCAGGGAGCAGTATAGTATAGTAACTCATGTGGAAAATGGAGAGTATAGCAGCTATCTCATGGGGTGGTTGCAGGAATTAATGATTAAAAGCATGTAACATAGTGCCTGGTGCCAGGAACTGCACAACACATGACAATAATTGGCTCTAAGCCTTCTTGTGCACAGATTTGTTCTCTGGATGCACAAAAACTGATCATGTCTATTATCTACAGTAGTCCTTCAATTTCTGAAAGTTGTGATTATGTTTCCTCTAAGCTGCTGCTACCTTCCCTTTCCTCCTCTGCTTCCTCCTCCTCCTCCTCCTCCTCCTCCATCCCTATATCTCTATCTATGTTTTCTGGAGCTAAAGAAATAATATCTCATAGATAATATCAGATATTATTTCTAGACCTCTTGCTAACATATCCTCTCTCCCTTCTGCTAAGGCTTAGGTGAAGAAGTCAGAAAATCAATGAACAGTTACATTGGGTTTGTACTCTACATGTCTTTTTATTATTATCATTGTTCTTTTTGTGTAGTGCTGGGAATCAAACTCAGGGCTTCATGCATGCCAGGCAAGCATACTACAGCTAAGCTGCACTCCCAGCCCTGAAACTCACATCTGTGGCATTTAGGCAGCCATATTTTATTTAGTTAACTCCACTGAGTTCACATCTACCTATAACACCATTTCTTTGCCATCTGAAGTTGTAAAAGCACATTTTTTTTCACATCCTGTGTTTGTGCAGTTAGGTTCATGAATTAAGATGGATAATTTGACATTTTTCCTGTTTTATTTCATCTCATAGGATTCAGCCTATTCTGTTCTAACATCCTTTGGGATTTATATTTTCCTTTCCATTTATGTTTGGACTCTGAGGACAAGATCATTGCAAAGTAAGAAAATTCCTGTAAGGTGCTAAGCACAAATAACTGGCACACAGCAAGCCCTTAATAAACACAAACAATTGTGGTGGTGGTTGTTATCCCAATACTCAACACAGTGTCTGGCTCACAGTAGAACCCTAATAATATTCATTGATTAATGAATAAATGATTGGATCAAAGATTRATGGAACTAATAAATATTCCCTGTCTTGACTCTCAGGCCAAGTAAATTTGATATTATCTTTCTTTTACAAATAGGGAAACTGAGGCTCATAGATGTTAAATAACTTGCTCATGGTCACTCAACTGGAAAGTGGAACTAGAACTCAAATCTGCTTGATTCCCAAGCATGTATGTCGGGCCCTTCCCTATGATGCGTCCTCACATCTATATTCAGACTGAAAGAACGTACTAGGAAGCCAGAATGAAGTCCGAGAGACTTCCCAAGGTTGTGTGTCCCAAGCCCTAGAGAAGTTGATTCTCTTGTAACCCTGGGACCCAGGGATGTGGAAGGGCCCAAGAGATGGGGAACAGAGCACTGGAACCTCCCTCCTCCCTCCCCTCTGGGCCTTTCGTATTCCCTGCCTAAACTCTGCTTTGCTATTTCTCCTAAGCAACTAACAGCATTGTGTGTCCCCAAGGAGACACTTTTAAGGCCAGGGAACCAAGACCCAGGGAAATGATTCAACTGCTTGCCAGAACCAGGGTCAGCGGAGTCAGGGGCCCAGAAGAGTAGGTACAAAGAATTAGAAGACCCGTGGGAAATCTGTGGTTGCCTCTCTGCCACCCCCTATCTGGGTATCAGCTTCCTCTTTGTAAGAATGGTGGGAAGAATAGTCCTCATTTTACCTTATAATGGTTTGTGTTATAATGATGACAACAGCTAGGGTTTACTGAGTACCATCTCTGCCAGTTACCATGCTGAGTACCTTTCATAGTCTTAGCACTATGAAATAGGTATATTATTTACTCCCATTTTAATTTTCCATTTTAATTTTTCATTCTTCCTTCCTTTCATCTTTGTCCTTTTTTTTTTTTTTTGGTACCAGGGATTGAACTCAGGGGCACTCAACCACTGAGCCACATCATCAGGCCCTATTCATCAGCCCTATTTTGTATTTTATTTAGAGACAGGGTCTCACTGAGCTGCTTAGCACCTCGCTTTTGCTGAGGCTGGCTTTGAACTCTCTATATTCCTGCCTCAGCCTCCCAAGCAGCTGGGATTATAGGCATGGGCCACAGCGCCAGGCTCCTTTTTAATAAATGTGGAAGCCAAAGTTCATAGAATTGTTACTTGCCCAAGATCTCTAATCCTAAGTGTCAGAACTGAGGTTTGAAACTGTGTAGCCTTTTGAGCCCTTCAGAACTGAGAAATGGAGGACGGGAGAGTATGATAGAAGTCCTGTACTCTCTGGGCAAAAATATATTGCACAGTCTATGGCTTCTTATGATTGGGGCTGAAAGTGGGAACCTACGGAGAGCATTTCTAATGAGGCAGTTGTGCAAATCCAAAGGTGGGAAGGGCTCTTCTCACCCACATGATCAGATTGAAACCCTAGGTCTAGATGAGAGGAGGGAGGGTACACAGTCTGACTAGCTCCTTTGTAAGAGACAGTTCCAGAGCAGATTGTGGTGGGAGAGGAAGATCCTAGGTTGTCCAGCCAGAGCCACTATAGCCCATTCAAAGCCAAGGCCTTCTGCAAGAAGAGTACTGTAACTCATGAAGTTCTGCTGGGGTTAAGGCAGGAAGAAGCTCCAGTTTTCTCAGAACTTTCCAAGAAACCAAGGACGCACAGCCCAGGAAATAAGTACTTATGGCCTCCAATGGCACCTGTGACCCCTTAATTCCCTGTATCTCTGCCCTTGGGTTTCCAGCCACCCAGCTTCTACACTGTTCTCCTTATATCCACAGCTGTCTGCTTGGCATCCCCAGCACCTCCCTTCCAGGCTCGTTCTCCTCTCACACACACCAGGACTGTCTGCCATGGCAGCTCCTTTGTTTACTTCCAGAGCTCACAGGCTCACCACTAGCCAAACACAAGGARGCCTGGCCAGGGAGATCTTGGCTCTAGGATCAATCTGGCCCCTCTGGGACAGGTAATGGCCTCCAAACCAAGAAGGCAGCTCAAAGGTAGGTTGCTCCCTGTGCTGGGTTCTTGCTTCAGAGTCTGGCAACCCAAGTTTCAGGCCTAGAGGGAAAAGGTACAAGTTCTGCCCATAGCTGGGCAGGAATCCCTACTGTTGAGACAGCTTTGGCTAAGGGCTCCCAGAATTAAAGACCTAGCTAGAGAGAGATGGGGAAAATTTTGAGGCCTCCTGGGTGGGAACCAGAGGCTTGGATTTTTGCTCCTCTTTGAGTTTCTCATCAGCCTGGTAAAACCTGGCTTTGAACCCTCAGTTGGAGGATCCAGGTGCCTAAATTTCCTCACCAGGAGGTTGTGTTCCTCTTCCAAAAGCTCAGGTCTCATACACCCCAAAGATTCATATTCTCATTCTCTCTCTCTCTCTCTCTCTCTCTCTCTCTCTCTCTCTCTTGCACCAGGATTGAATTCAGGGTGTTTAACCACTGAGCCACATTCCCAGCCCCTTTTTAAATCTTTTATTCTGAGACAAGTTCTCATCAAGTTACTGAGAGCCTCATCAAGTTGCTAAGGCTGGCCTTGAACTTACAATCCTTTTGCCTCATCCTCCTGAGTCACTGGGATTACAAGTGTGTGCTATATAGTGCTCTCTCCTCCCTGAAGATTCTAACTGAAAAGGGAAAGTGAGTATTTACTATAGACTAAGCCCTAAGTAGAAACATAGCCTGGCATTTGTCTGTCTGAGATCAGTGGGAAGATGATTTACCTAATGTATAATTATGTATTTATATAATGTATAATGTAAAGTGAGGGGCTCTAATTCTGACTCTGGAGCTGTGGTAGGTGATGGGTAAGCAATAAGGAATACTGCGGGTGCTAAGCTGGAGGGCAGCAGGGTCACAGACAAGGTCATATGAAGAACAATGGTCATGGCAAAATAAGAGGCTCCCATTGGGAAGGGGAGACTCCTGGCAGTCCAGACTCCCCAATGCAGAAGTAGAGGGCCCTTTAAATGTTGCCCATTTAATTCTGTGAAGATGGGAGAAAATGGGGGCAGGGCAGATGCTGGTGAATGATCAGAGATGATTTTAAGGCCTCCTGGATGAGAACCAGAGACTTAGACTGCTCCTGGTCTCCATTTCATTTAAAGGAAATGAAATCCCCAGTATCTTTCTCATTTAAGGATCTCTTTTAACACACACCAAAAAAACTTGACTAAGGAATGTAAAAATCTAACTTTGTTGCCAGGCCCCAATGGAGCAGATGGACCCAGGGGCCAATGGGCCTTTGGAAAGAACAGGAATGAGGTTAGAGGTGAACACTGGTCCTGCCCAGTTCTTACTCTCTGCCCCATTCTGCTTCAGTTTCCAAGGGTTGGGGGTGGGGCCTGGGAAACAGAGTTCATGCATGAAGCAACCCACCCTCCTTCTCTGAGTCAGGAATTCCTTGAGGGGTTATGGGTCCCCTGGAGTAAACAAGAAATTTGCTACAGTTTTAGGCACAGTTTGGCTTTTTTTTTCTCATCAATGTACATTTTAATCTAACAGTCTAACAGCCTCATACTCCTTACCCTTGCCCAAGTTCTCTCCCCGTTCTCCCACACCAGCCCAATCAGCATTTCATCTGCCCTAAAGATTGAAAGWCACCAGGCACAAAGGTGATTCAAAGAGGAGGTGACACCTGTGTCTCTCCCACCAGATGCTCAGGATAGCACCAGTCCCCCTTGGAGAGTTCAGAGGCCAAGGAGGCCTAAGTTAGGAGAGATTACAGGTTGAGTCTCATTGGAAAACACTGTCTCCTGGGTCTCAGTCCCATGCAGAGTCTGTCCCCTTAGACTGTCCTTGTCAGTCAGAGTAACAGAGGAGCAGAAATCCTCAGATGGGGGACTTGTGAATAGAAGGGGAGCCCAAGTCACACTCAGAGTGAACAAGGCTGCTGGAATGCCCTTTGGTGCGGTTGTGTAGATGCTCTGACTGCAGCTTCCTGACCCCTCTGTGATTCCAGGAGTAAGGGGAGGGGCTCCCAGGATATGCCAACCTGGAAGACAGAGGGCCAGTGCTGCTACCTGCAGCCACAAGACTCCACAACCATGTCCTCATACTGCTTATACACCACGTTGTTGGCAGAGTCAATGAAGAGGATGCTAATGGGACTCAGCCGCGTGGGCACACAGCAGGTGGGTGGTGTGGACTCGGGGTCCATGGAGTTCATCAGGGTCTGGATGACTGCGTGGTTCGTGGGCTCCAGGTGGGAGCGCAAGGGGAATTCGCATAGCCCCTCACAGTGGAAGGCCTCGTACTCAAGAGGCGCAATGATCCAGTCATCCCAGCCCATGTCCTTGAAGTTGACATGCAGGGCCTTCCGACTGCAGCGGGCCTTGAGGTTCTTGCTGGGTCGCTTGCCCTGGCGAGTGGCCAGCGGAGCCCGCCGTTTCCGCCGCTGGCTGAACAGGTACTCATACACGGTCTTATCATCCTGGCCCGAGCGGGCCTTAATCTCATTAAAGAACAGGTCCCGTTTCTTGGTTCGGCCAAACACCAGGAATAGAGCCTTCTCGTGGACCTGCCGGGCAGCCCGGTCAAAGCCCAGACCGCGGAGGTCCACAGCCCGGCCCCGTTCCCAGGCCTCCAGCTCCAGGCACAGCTGGGCCGAGTTCTTAAAGTTTCGGAAGAGCTTCCAGATGTCGAACACCTCCCAGCCAGATCCATCCAGGCCTGGCACCGAGCGCACATCCAGCAAGGCTGCCGGCTGCCGGCCGCTGGGGCAGCTGGACAGCTTCAGCTGGGCAGCCCGCCCGGCACCAGGGGCCACTGGCTTGGCCGTGTCCGAGGGCTTCTTCCGCAAGATCCGCAGCTCGGCCCCCAGCAGCCCATCCTTCTCCAGGGCACTAATGTCGAACATGTACCTCTGCTTCCTGACCACAGGACCTCGGTCATCTAGAGAGAATAGCCAGAAGTCAAGTCCTGCAACCTCACCGAGGGAGCCAGTCACCTCTAGGCCCCAAGGGAGGCCCAAGCTCTTCCCCCTCASGAGAATTTTCTTTAACCTCTTCCCCACTGTGTCAGAGGCCAACATCAAACCACTGAGAGCCTTTTTAAAGTGAGGGAGCTTCCTGCACAGTGGACCAAATCAGGGTGTTTATCTGTGAATGTGGAAATGGATGATTTGGGTAACTGTTTGTGTCAATGATTTATGTATAATAGTCATAAGCCTTACAACTTCCTTCTACTTATCTCTCCTGCCCGTGATCTAACATGATATCCTATGTCCGAGATAGTGGGGTATACATTAAAATTACCCATTTTTTGAAAAACCTGAAGTTCAGGGAAGTTATGTGGCTTGCTCAAGGTCCCTTGCTAGGAAAAAACAGAATTAGAACTCAAGAATTTTTATATCTCATACTGAGATGCTCCCACTATACCTTAAAGATCTTTGTGTTCTCATTTTTACAGATGAGGCACAGAGGTGAGGAGTGACTTGACGTAGGTCACAGCAAGTTAATGAAAAAGCTGATCTACAACCCAAATTCCTGGCTCCCCAGTCTAATAATTTTGTTGTGTATTTGTCTTCCCCTGCTGGGTGGATGAGGGTGTAACAGTGTGTGTGTGTGTGTGTGTGTGTGTGTGTGTGAGAGAGAGAGAGAGAGAGAGAGAGAGAGAGAGAGATGGGGTTCATTTGTAAGTATGCAAGGTAATATATATATATATATATATATATATATGAGTTACAAAGATATGTATGAATATTTTGCATGAATTTATGTGTGGGGGGGGGGTTGGGCATTGAATCCAGAACCCTCTACCACAGGGCTACWTCTCAGCCCTTTTTACTTTTTATTTTGAGGCAGGGTCTCGATAAGTTGCCCAGGCTGGCCTTGAACTTGCAATCCTCCTGCCTTGGGGCCTGCTGGAATTACAGGTATGTGCCACCATGCCCACTTGGCCTCATGAGTATTTGAAGGGCTTGTATGTGAATGTAAGTGTATGATTCCACATATGTACATAAAGTGTGTATACATGTGCACATGTGTGATTCAACGTGTGTAAAATATAAGGCTGTGTGTGTGAGAAGCTCAGCAATGTCTCTGTATCAGCATGGCCTCCTTCCTAAATACCAATTTGCCATTGGGGAACATTCATATATTGCTCTAGAAGGTAACTAATTAGGCCTTTAAACTCCCCATCTCCCCCTCCCCAAGCTCCCTTAGTGCTGGGGGGGGGGCACAAGGACTTATTTTATGAGCCCCCAAGGGGTCACAGCTTTCCCTGGCTGGGCAGGCAGCCAGGCCACCTCCCCCACCTCGGCCAGACCTGCTGCCTCTGTGCCTCCCCCCTCCTGCCCCCTGTCATTCCCCTACAGGCCAGCTCTAATGAGGAGTCTCTCCTACTCTCTGACCCCTCCCCCACCCTGCCAGCCAAAGTCCTAAGACTCAGAACCCGAGCATAGGAGCTGTAAGCAACCTTAGCAACAGGCAGTCCACCTCCCTCTTCACACTATGGAGAAACTGAGGCCCTGAAAAGGGAAGAGTCTTGTTGAGTTCACACAGCAAGTTGAGAGAAAAAGCTGAGATGGTAATACTAGATTGGCAGAGGGAAACACAGGAGAGCAGATATTCTYCTGCGTTAATACTAAAAATATGTTTACAGGACACAAAATTTTCACATTTGAAGGACTTTCATAAATTACCCAGTCAGACTCCCATCTAGATGGACAGATGGGGAAACTGAGGCCCCAAGGGGTGAAGGGGCTGTCCCAGGGTCACATTATGAGTTAAACCCTAGGTCTGATGCCTCCTTCCATGACTCCAAGATGCCCCCTTTCCTTTCTTCACCTGTCTGCCTCCCCTGCCCCCTGTCCTGATGACAAAGTTGCAGAACTATGGGGACCTTTCTAAAGTTTCATCCCTCTGTCTGCTGAGAAAACCCTGGAGCTTGGAAAGTTTGGCCAACCCATAAAGTTACGGAGCGTGGCTTGATAATCAAGTCTTGGATAATCAAGTCTCCAACTCTGCCACCAAATGGCAGGTCTTGTCTCCTCTCCAGGATTTAGTGTCCCCTCCCCCCTGCACCTTGCAGGAACTGGACTTGGTGATCCCTGGGTACCCTATACTGCTGACGTGCCAGCAGCCTGGATCTGGTATATGTAAGGTAATTCCCTGACACCCACCCACGCAGGACCAGATGCACACACATTCCCCCACCTGTTAAGCATCAGGGCTCAGGGAGTCCCTCTGTGCATGCAGATGCTCCTCCCGCCACCCGCCCCCTCACCTTGCCCTTTGTCAATAAAGCTGGTGATGGTGTTGGCCAGGCCAGCCTCCAACTTCACGCTGCTGTTGCCTCCCTTTCTGTCAGCATCGGACAGCGTCCTGTACAGCGAGAGCATGTACTCGTGGGGTGTGATGGGGGGCGGGCGGAACGGCTCCTTGGGCTCTCGAGGGGGCCCAGACTCCCTGGCCTTCTTCAGCAGAAAGGAGCTGGGGACAGATCCTGCTTTGGGGGGTGCCTTGCCCCCGGGAAGCTGTCCTTTTGGGGTTACAGTCCGGGCTGCAGGCTGCCTGGTCTGGGGAGGGGGTCCTGGCTTGGGTTCAGAGCCACCAGATCTGGGGGGCAGCTTTTTGGGCTCATCCTTCTTGGCCTGTGTCTGCCCGGGGTCTGCCTTTGCCCTGGTGTTGGTGGCCCCCCCACCATAGCTGTGACCCCCTGGCCTAAAGATGTTCCGGGCCAGGGGGGGCCTCTCCTTGGCCTCTGCTTTGGCCAATCCTGGCCTGGCCCCCGTGGGTCTCTGGCCCAAGTCAGGGGCACCCAACACAGTGCAGATGAATTCCAGGTCCAGCCAAGCCAGGTGCCAAAGCAAGAAAGTGAGGAGTTTGGGGAGTCTCATCCTCTGGCCAGCCGCTGGATGACACCAAAGAGAACAGCGGCAGCAGCGAAGGTGCCTCTGGCTTGGCAAGAAAAACCATGAAAGGAGTGGATCTTCAGGAGCAGCGGCGGCAGCAGCAGCAGCAGCAGGAAGGGCTTTCTCCTCAGTCTGAGACTCTTGAAGTCCGCCGGGCGTGTGTCTGTATCCAGTCCCATAGTGGAAATGCTCCCGTATCCAGACGTGCACCGTCTCCAGTCAGCAGCTGAAAATAACTCGTTCTTGAAAGGAGAAAGCCGACCGCCCCCTTTCTCCTGCACAACTGACTGAGGGCTTGAAGGAGGCTTGTATAAGGCTGAGGGATTTTTCCAAGAAGGAAGAATGGCGTAATGCTGCCTGTGTGCTCCAGTTTTTTTTTCCTCCTAGTTTTGAATCCTTTCCAGTGAAAATACTTACACACACACACACACACACACACACACACACACACGGGCCTGCAGGTGCTCAGAAAAATCTTTTACAAACCTGAACTCAGGAATTGGAAACGGAATTCCAACCCAAACCAATTTAATTACTCTCTGATGTCATGCTGTCTAAATTCATTTAAGTGCGATATATTTATGTGAAAAAAATCACCGCTGCCCTTTTGAGGCCATGGCTCACGGGGGCTCTTGGCACAGAGCCCCGTAGGGGGACTCAGGGCTTAGGGGGCCTCTCAGTCCCCAGAGCAGACTCAGGGGTCTTCACCTCCGCCTCCTGGAGAAGCCCACCCTACCAACCCAAGGAGAGATGCTGAAGAGTGAGCCCTGAGATCCAAAGCCCCAGAAGCATGGGGAGTGTGGGTTTTCAGTGAAGTCCTTGGAGTGTTTTAAAAGCAATTTCAACCCCTGCATCTAGCCTGGGATCCGATTTGGGGGAGGGGGGCACATGTGTATGTGTGTGTGTGTGTGTGTGTGTGTGTGTGTGTGTGTGTTGCAGAACAGATGGCAGCATTTACCCACAGTTTCTTTTATTTTAGTAAACTTGTGGTGACCCAGAGGCAGAAAAAAATATCAGTGCCCACTACACCCCTCCTTCCCCACAAATGCCATTGGTTGAACTCAGATGATTTCTTCAGGCTTGGGGGACACTGCCACCCTGAAGCCCCTACTTGTCTAGAGGCAGGTACTGAGTGTACCCTGCCACTACCCCAGCAAAGACGTCCTCGGAGTTTTCTTAGAACAGATTGGCTGAGTTAGGAGGCAGTGGCCCCAGCCTGGGGCAGCAGCGGCCCCTGCAGGAGGCTGGAAAAACGATTTCCCATAGGAAACTGGTAGTTGGGAAGTCTGAATTCCAGTTAGACTCAAGGGTTTCTCAAAGTGCCTCAGTGAAGTACTGAGCCCCCTTTCTAGGGATGTCCTATAGAGCCCTTGGACAACTTACCACAGGGTCACCTGGGGAAGCTGCTTCTTTCACCTGAATAATGTTTTATCACTTCCACAAATGAAGGAAGTCCTCCTTATCCTGAGAAGTTAAAGGACACTCACCTCCTCCTAGAAGCCTTCCTGGATTCCCAGTCAGTACCAATGACTCCCTCTAACACAATAATTGTCACACTGTGACAAAGATGATTGGCAGCGGAAAAATCAGCAGTCAGATAGGCTCCCTTCTTGGATTTTTTTTTATTTTCCTTGCAGTGCTGAGGATTGAACCCAGGGCTTCAAGCAAGCATGCTAGGCAAGTGCCCTACCACTGAGCCACAACGGCAACCCCATAGGTTCTTACTTGACATGGCCTAACACAGTAGAAAGTCAGTGAGTGCCTGATGAATGAAACAACATGAAACTCACTCTAGGGGCTGGAGCTCCATGGTAGAGTGCATGCTTAGCATGTGTGAAGCCCTGGGTTCCATTATCTGCAAACAAATAACAAAATAAAACAACCCCCGTGGCTGGGTGACCAAGTGACCCACGAGTCCTTTCATGGTGCTGCTCCCAAGGTCACTGATCCCCCAGCCCAGCTGTATGGCTTTGCTACTTAAGCTTCACCTGGTACTCCTAGGTCAGAAATGGAAGTATAGCTCCAGCTCCTAATCTCAAAAGACCAATGCAGCACCAGATTCTCTTTGGGGGGGCTTTAAGGAAGGGCTGAATTCGTTTTTGTCCCCTCAGTTGTCCAGGTTCGTCACACTTGGCTTTCCTTTTGACCTTCCCCCCTTAACCAGTCTTCTAGGACATTCCTCCCTTCATTCCATCTTACTGTCTCCAACACTGTCTCCTTACCTCTTGACCTGCTATAATTCCCTTATAACTGGCTTCTAGGCCTCCAGGATCTCTCTGTTCCAACCCTCCCTCTACCTAAAACCCACCCATTAAACAAATGCCAACTCATGTGCCATCTTCTCCTCAAAGCCTTCCCTCATCCCCCAAAACACACACTCCTCCTGAACTGCCCTCACGCATTTCCTGTGCTGCCACCCACTCTGGTAGCTCAAAGTTTATCTGTCCCATCTCCAAAGCAATTCATTTCTTCTACTCTGTATACTTTTTTTTTCATATTTTTATTACCACTTAATTATTTATACCTATTGTAAATTGTCTACCTACATATCTGTCTTCCCCCATTACATTATAACTAGACTGTACCATATTTGTCTATTAGTTATTCACAGTGCTTGGGGTAGGGACCAGCACATAGATTTTTTTTTTCCAGTATTGGAAATTGAACCCAGGGATGCTTTACCACTGAGCAACACCCCAATCTTTTTTATTTTTGTCTTTTGAGATAGGGTCTCGCTAAGTTGTTGAGACTTGCCTGGAACTTTCAATCCTTCTGCCTCGGCTTTCTGAGTCACTAGGATTACAGGCGTGCCCAGCCAAAAGCTATCATTTTCAATATATCATGTCTTCCCTGCAGAACTTGGAGTTCCTTAAAGGGAGGGATTTTTGTCTTGCCACTTTGGCATTCTGTAAGCTCCATTGAGTGCACAGATGAAGGGAAGAATCAGTCAAATAACCCAGACATCCCTATACATGGTTTGTTAAAGAGTAAGGGCTCTGGCCCAGCATAGTGGCACATGCCTATAATTCCAGTGACGTGGGAGACTGAAGCAGAAGGATGGTGAGTTTAAGGCCATCCAAGGAAATTTATCAAGACCCTGTCCCCAAATAAAAACTAAATACAGCTGGGGATGTAGCTCAGTGATAAAGCATCCTAGGTTCAATCCCCAGTACTGGGGCAGAGGGCAGAAGCAGAAGTTCTGGAGACAGACCTGGTTTTGAAACCTGGTTCTGCTATTTACATGTTGTGAGATTCTGGGAATCCTCCCAATCTCTCTGAAACTCTGGACAAAGATAATAATAGTACTTATCTCATATAGGGTTTTTGTGGGGAATCAATGAAATTAATCCCAAAGTGTGATTAGCCTAGAACATGGCAAATATTAGTAATAGCTACTCTTTTGTGAGCACTTTTTCTAGTCAACTAGGCATGGGCTTTGTTTTCCATCACATTTTGGGGGAGAAGCGGTACTGAGGATTTAACCTAGTGGTGTTTTTAACACTGAATCATATCTCCATCCTTTTTTATTTTATTTATTTTTATTCTATTTTTTAAATTTTTAGTTGTTGATAGACCTTTATTTTATTTATTTATTGACACGTGGTGCTGAGAATTGAACCCAGTGCCTCACACATGCTAGGTAAAGCACTCTACCACTAAGCCACAACCCAGACCCCTTTTTATTTTTTATTTTGAGACAAGGTTTCACCAACTTGCTTAGGTCCTTGCTAAGTTGCTGGGGCTGGCCTTGAACTTGTGATCCTCCTGTCTCAACCTCCTGAGTCTCTGGGATTATAGGCATGTACCATCACACCTGATTCCATCTCATTTATTACCTTATCTTCACAACAACCCTATGATGAAGGTGCTCTTAGTACCCATGTTTTAGAGAAAAATAATATGAAATTCAGAAAAGTTAAATTACTTTCTGAAGGCTAATTTCTGCTTCAACACATTTTATGCTAAGAATCCTACTCGGGTTTCTAGGAATATAAGATGTGATAGGATGGTAGGGGATCTTAGTTAGGGTGTTCTTGACTTTCAGCCAAAGTTTCACCCAATGGGCTGGGACTTTGGGAACATGGAGGAGTCTCAGGCCAGTGGCTAACGTCTGAGGAGTGGGAACTCCCAGGAATGGGGTAGGAGTAGCAAAGCAACTCTGAGCTTGCATGGAAGGCCCTCTCTGAGGAGAAGCCCAGGGTTCCTGCCTGGCATTCACTATAAAGGTGACTAATCACTTTGGTCCCCTCTGGTAATTGCAACCAGATGCTGCCATTGGCAGTACTTCAGTCCCGACATGTTTAATTACTGGGACATAGAGTCCCTGGGTCCCCTGGGTCCCACTCCCTCCCCCTCTCCTGTCAGCAATATTAATGTCAAACTTGAGGTAGAGGATGGGAGTCTTGGGAAGCCACTGACAAGGAAATAATCTTTACAGTCCCTTCCACCAGGCGGAGCCTTTAACTCTTATAAATGTTCCCCCATCCATTATCTCACTGGCACCCCACAAAACATCCTTATAAAGTCACTAAGCCAGAGTATTAGTAGATGAGCAAATAGTGAATCCTTTGCTTTTTTCAAGCACTTGGCAATTTTCAAAGAGGTTTCACATTCATTATGCCAGCTGAACCCCCTAACATCTCTCCATGAGTCAGTGAAGCACAGCACAGAGGATGAGAGCACAGGGCTCCAGGATCAGACAACACAGTTCATGTCCCAACTCTGCCACTTACCAATTAGGTGATCTTGGGTATTCATTCATTTATTTGCTTAATTATTCAGCAAACATTTATTAGTGCCTACTATATGGTAGGCCCCAGATCTCAGCACTAGCTGTATAGCAGTGGACAACACATCAAAGTCTGTGCTCTCATGACAGTGAATGATTCTATGCATTATTTTAGAGAATTCTATGGGCTGTGTAGAAAAATTAAGCAAGGTCAAAGAGGTGTTTATTTGGGGCTGGGGATGTGGCTCAAGCGGTAGCGCGCTCGCCTGGCATGCGTGCGGCCCAGGTTCGAT